TCAACTTTAGTAATTGTACAGGCTGCATAGGCTAAGGGGGCTATAGTGTAAAAAATTCGTAAGACCTAGCTGGCAAACAGAAGCCACTGAAAATGCATTGGACTGAAATTGGATCTGCCCTGAAGCAGGTCAGACGTGCGTTTCAGACAGGTTTTTGCCTTAGCCATTAGAAGCATCGTAAAATTAATGTAAAAAGCAGTGTATCCACTGCAGTATCTCTCCTGTTACCACAACACAGCTTATGCTTTCAGAAAAACGAGCAGCACAGTATGGAGTCAGCTTCTAAGTACGTTTATTTACTTGACAATGGTTAGGAAAAACAGATGGATTGTTCCTTTCCGGCTCCTTTTGTTTTGTTTTGTTGTTTGTTTGCTTTTTTGTTTGTTTGTTTGAGGGCATTTTATGGTGAGAACAGTTAGAAGCAGGAGATATGGAAGCCAAAGATCTTTCAGCCATTGTCCGTGTTTACCGAACTCTTTATCAGGTGTGTATGTTCATCTGGCTTAACTGGAGCAGTAAAATTTACACTGGACTTGCTGAATTGGGACAGCAGATCTGTGAGACGTCCCTGGACCAGGGAGCACATTTCTCCTGCCCTGGCTCAGAGCGATAGCGCGCGTGTGTGGAGCCCTGGAAGGGAACATTGGCCATCTATAAGAGAGCTCCCAGTGCTCTGTGTGGTATGGCCATTGGCACTCAGAAAGCTCATATGTTGAAGAACAAGCCTTCAGATCAAGTACCTTTACCCCTCTGCTAGGTATTTAAATCTGATCTATGGAGATAATAAATGCTAATTTTCTTGTTTGGTGAAGTCTTCAGCAGCAAGAAGATGAGGTTGTCAAGCATCACATTAGGAGGTGCTGGGATCTCCCCAGTGCAGGACTCTTAATGACACAACCCATTAAAATGTTTCAGAGCCTCTGTAAGCAACTGAGGGAAGGTCTCTTGACTGATTCTGTTGTTTGGGTTTCCTTTAGAGTATGATTTTGGACTTGGTAGGGTGATGGCTCTGCCCTGTTCCAGCACCCCAGAGGTCTCAGGAGTTGCCATCTCTAGCATCTCAGGAACAGTCTGGCCAGGGGTACTTGACCTGGCGTACTAATTAATGGAGGATGCATCTTGAGGGAGAGTTGTGTCCTGGGCCACTCTGGGTGGAGAATAAATGTTCAACATAAGTAAGCTGGACATAGGCATGGCATTATTTTACTGTTGGTGACACATGCACATTGTTGAGTCCGTTGATCTACAAGCTAAATGGTGAGAGAAATGAAACCAGTATCAAAGTATGCTTGATACTTGGCCACAACAGTGGCCCTGCCAAGCTTCTTGCAGGACCTTCTGCATCAAGGTCAGTCTTTACTAGCCTGTCCCTTGGATATATTAACACTGTAAGCACTGCTGTGAATAGAATATACACGCAGAGCTTTGGTTTTAAGTAACTTATTTGAGCTCTCGTAGTACCCTAGCCTCAGCTGGTCAGGGCTCACCATAGACTGCAAAATACATCTTAGAAGTAAGGGCAAGCTGAGCTCCGCAACTGCTACCTGTGTCTAAGCTGGCTGGCTTATAGCTGTGCTGTGTGTGGCTGCCGCACACTGCTGTGATAATTGATACCTGAGCAGCCACGGCAGCATCAACAAACCCCAGGAAGAGATTTGGTTCGGCTGTTACTCTTGTGATAAGACTTCTTGCTCCTGCAGATAGACGGAAGGAGGGTGCCTGATGTCCAACAGGAGCCTTTCGGAGCTGTCACTGCTCGGATGCTGGTGTGAGCACATGGTGTTACAAAGCCTCTGACTCCTAGGTGAAAGATAAAGTACCGTATCTTCATAATTTATCTTCTCCCTTCTCTTTTTTATTTCCACTTTCAAAGGGTTTTTTTTCCGGAGAGAAAGATAAAGTGATCTGGGGCTTAGTTCTCACTTCTCCCTAGAATTCCTGTGTGACTGTGGATAGTAGTTGTGCTGTTCTGTCCCTCAGTTTTCTCTCCATTAAATTAGAATAGATGCAGTTTTAAAATCACTTGTGTAATTGTGCCGATCGAGTCTAGAGACAAGATCTGCAGACATAAGGCTACCAAAAGATATGGGAAATTGCAGAGGCCAGTTTTGAAAGATGCCAGTGTCAGACAGCCAAGTCTGTGCGTTTAGGTGCTTCACCTGATTAAGTGTTTTAGGAAATTTAATTGGGAACCAGGCTGTGGAGTGCGTAAGTGCCACGGAAATTGTAACTCTAGGGTCTTTCATGTCCAAACAGATTTTAAAATGGGGACTGGTATTCGTTATTTGCTGAACAGATTTTTAAAATGCTGCTAAGTCATAATGTGCCTGTTGTTGTTATTTGTCTGTTTTGTCTAATTAGGCCCTAGCAGAACAATTGCGATCTCTTTTACGTTGTGGTTGCGCTGTGCCGGGTAGACATAACCCTGAATTTAGTCCTCCTGGAGATGCTAGTTCAATAAAAATAACAATACTTTTACTAATGAGAATAACTGTGTGGAGCCAGGATTCGTGCTAAATTATCATCCATTAGTGACTTAGATCTGGAATGAAGGGTTCCCTGCTCTCTGCTGTGTGTCTCCATTCATTACGGAGCGGCCCGTGGTATTTTCTTAACAACATTTTTATTTTTTCCTGAAACTGTTGCCCAAAACTATTGGAAGAATATGTGCTTTCCCATAACATCAGAATGAGACAAATGGCACTGCTTGCTTTTATTATTGTGTAGAAGTGTCTTTCCTTTGGACTCAGATAGACTTGTAAATGGCAAGTAGCCGGAGGCTAATGGAGCACACGCTTCAAAGCTTTCCATCTGTCCCTTGGTGAGCAGAAAGAAGACATTGTCTGTTAGAGCAATCAGTCCTCATTACAAAGAAAAGTGCTCCTGCTCTCCAGATTCCTGGAGAAACCCTCACCTTTCCTCAGAGGGGGAGGAAGAGGTCAACGAGTACCATCCCCTTATGCACCTGCAGGAGAAAAATGGATGGGGTATAAAGAAAAAGATGAGGCAGAGGCGTTTTGCGCTCTGAAACTGGACAAAGCACCTGTCAAGAGGTATTTTGTCTGGTGGCCTTCCGTGGCATTTTCTAATGACAGCAGAGGAGAGGCTAAAATTGTTTCACAGGGACCCTGTACGTACCAGTTGAGTGAGCGAGAACTGTATTAATTTGAATGTGAGCAAAACTCTTTAATTTAAGGCCCCTTTTCTAATTTGTTCCATTGGAATCTTCCTCAGAGCTCCTCCTCTAGTCATCCCGTCAAATAGCCCCTATTTATTCATTTATTTTATTTCTTCACATACATTTAGGGAAAA